TAAAGGCAGCTGGTGTGATGCTGACCATATCACCTACCTATTGTCTATAAAATATAGCCCTAGTCCTATATGCCCAATAGACTGGAGACGTGGAAATGGGTCTTTTATGGCTTACTCTGGTCAGAAATGTAGATGTCATTCAAGCTCATCACTCTGCTTGTAGGTAATATTTAGCTGCAGATGAAAATGTTAGATTTCTTGTTGACAGACACATGAATGAAATGATGTACGAAATGAGAGAGATAAGAAGGGTGAAATCTTTAGCGGGCCTTTGAACCTTTGAAACATCAAACGTTTTCATTCGTTTTTTTTTTTCGTTTCTATACATTTCAAAAAACTGATAAATACAGAGAGTACGGACAGTTTTCTTTAAGTTAAAATTAACTCTCTAAGTCCTCATGCGACTCGCCATACCTTTATGAATAAGTCCTAAGATAATATAATTTGCCAGCGGTCTTCTCTCACAGAAGAGTGTTTTATCAGTTCTTAATGTCTAGATTACTAGCTTAACTTCTTATGTCTCATAGTGTCTATGTTGAACTTTTTAGGGCTAAATTATTTCCTGCCTTTAAGCACTTTTGGGACTAGAAGGAGTTAAAGTAACAGCTGACTGGGATGAAAGAGTTGAAAAGTAACAACGCAACGTTAAGTCAGTTCCATGATGCAAAATGACTGCATAAAACACTACACATTTGAATAGAATAGGGACCGGAGATACTAGCCCTCGACGTTAACATCTCTGGTAACTTTGTCTGTTAAGACTTCCAACCAATAATTTCAAGTGTATTGATCACAAGTATTCATGACAAGGAGAAAACTGGGGTACATAATGACGGTGGGAAAGTTGGAGGGAAAAAGAGGCAGAAGGAAATCGAGAGAGGAGATGGAACAGTTTTGACAACATGGCATGGGAGATAAAACGTATCACAACTGAATAAAAGTGCACGAGACAGAGGATTGTGGATAGACACAACTATCAACGCCACAAGGTATGGAATATATACAAAGGGAAGAGGGTTTCCTAAGTTTGGTGGGGAGGGGAGGGTAGCAAATTAATGTTTCATGATACATAATCAGTTCATAAATTCATAAACTAGCTAAGGGAGGCGCAAATGAAGAACAACCTGACGTACGAAAGCCACCAAAACTGGCACAAGACGATTACCATTTCATGGAAAGACCAGAGCAAGTTATTACTCTACGCCTTAGAACAGGACACAATCGACTTCAGAGCCACATGTACACACAATTTAAAATCGACAAATCAGCCATGTGCACATGTGAACTGGCACCTGAGACAACAGATCATTTCCTCAAAGACTGTCCCGAACACAACATATCAAGGAAAAACTTTCGGCCAAGAGAAACATCGGTGCAAGTGAATCTTTACGGGTCGCTGAGGGAATTACAAAAGAGAGTAAAGTTCATACTAGAGACAAAATTGCAGAAAAAGATAATTTATTTCAAGCGAACAAAAGAAAAAGATAATCAATTCAATAAGTAGGCTAGAAACTTAAAAGGCATAACAACTGCCTGACACGAGCCCTCAACGTTAAAATCTCATATGCCTCTGTCTGGTAAAACCTCCAACCAATACCTTAAAGGGTATTGATCACTATTGTTTACAATGAGAAGTGCTAAACTAGATCGATAACCCGTTTTCATGTCGTTAGTGAATTCAATCCTGTTTGCCTACGTAAGCAAGTCTGTGAATTCAGGCTCAGTGTAGAATATCCTTATTCTCACACATAGAAGGTGAACTGTTGTGTTAATAGCGCACAGTTTTCTGGATAGGTAGGTTGAGGTAACTTAACTGGATATGCGTGTCGTTACCCTGTTACTTTTGTGTGGGTTTTTAGTTTTATATTTTAGAAAAAACATTGTGTTTACTTTCGGTGTTTCTCTTTATTTTTATTATTTGGCATACAATAAGTCTGATATTGAAAGAGATTAATACAGTGTGGTGCTGATAGTTTATGTGTGTCCACGATCTTCAATCTCATGTATTTTCAATCAGTTCTGACTTATGATCTTTAATGTCATAATGTTAACATGTCCTGCACCTTTTCTATGTCAAACTCTGCCTTTTTTTTAACTCGCTAAAACTTTCCAAATTTCACGATGTACTCCAGTTTTCTCCTTTTTATGACATGACCAAAGAATGTAGATTGTCTCCTTATGTGGATAAACAGTCCTCTTCCTGAGTCCGGTTTTTTTAATACATCTTTATTACTTTTTGCTTATATGTCCACGATGCTCTCATAATTCATCTTTTATCATCATCATCACATAAACCACTTCTACCATTAAGCGGCGTGGGGAAGAATAAGTTGTGGTCCAGTGCACGCTGGTTGGCACTAGGCATTGTCATGCCGGTAAGACGTCAAGTGTTGTCGATCCCATACATTTAATGACCGTCCTCCTGCCCTTGTAGCTGATCTTCTCAGATGTATTGAGTGATTCGTCTATAACACCACATATTCTCCTTCTTCACATAACTGTTCACTAATTGGCCAATGTCTATGATTCACTTCCATATATTAGGATAGGATTTATACAGCTCTTTACTACCTCAGTAGAAAAAGACAGCTGGCATAGAATGACCAAGCAAATCAGTGTACGTTTTTTGATTACGCTATACATGATATCATCACCAAGTGCTTTGCTGGCTGGCGTAGGCGTCCATGTATCTCCACAGACCTCAAACTTTGGCGTTCTGGATCAATTCCACTGATGATATTCCTCCATGCCAGTGTCTTAAGCCACACACTATAATTTATCTTCGTCTGTTTCTGCCTCTCCTAGCAGTGATCTTTCCAGTCGTCACGATATTTTCCAGTGCTCCTTTTCTCATCACATGACCAAAGAACTCGGTGTGTCTTCTTCTCATTGTTGTATAAAATGTTCTGCTTTTATTAGCTATTTCAAAGCATTCAATTTAAGTTATTCTGGCAGTCCAAGCTATTCTCAACATTCTTCTCAAGAACCACATCTCAGTTGCCTCCAAACTCTTCTTAGTTTGTTTGCTCACATTCCAAGATTCACTGCCATACATATACATGATAAACATTTCTTTATTTTATCAGTTACTTTCAACCATTCTATGCCGGTTGTTGGTAAAAGATCATGTTTGCTTCAGGGGCGTATCGAACATGTGACACTTGTCTAATATTTGTTAGACAAATGGGATCTCGTTAGGGTCGTGAGGTCAACATCACACCCGCCGCATATATTCCCAAGGAGATTTTCTGGTACCAACTTTAGGTTAGAAGTCAAGGTCAATACTGAAATTGGTCACGGATTCAGATTCGAACCAATAACCTTCAGACCGACAGGCAAGAGTCTAGCCACCATGCTATTACAGATTCCGTGCCAATTGTTGCTTTAACTCATTATGTCTCACTTTTTTATTTCATTCAGCTCCTTCAAACTTTAAAACAGTTACTCTAAAGTCTTTCGTTTTATTTACTTTCTCTTTTACAGCTGAAGGTATCGAAAGGGACAAGGTTCTGTTTCTTGATATTCTGACCACCTCGACCACAGACACATCGTGTAGTTGTAGAGTTTCTCTGGTGTCATTTGTCCCTCTTGTTCTTGGTCTACCTTGTGCTCTACATCCTTCTTCCCCCTTACTGTATGCTCTGTATGTTATGGTATCACGAGACATTCTATCTAAATGTGTAAACAACTTGATTTGCTATCTGTGTATGATATTTGGAATCGGTTCTGTGCCTGTTCTTTCTGTTACGACCGTATTGCTGATTTCATCTCTTCAGGCAGTTATGAAGCCTTTCACAAACATCTCATTTCCATGATTACTATTTTCCCTTATCTGTTTAGTTGTGTGTGAAAATGTCTGGCACTGGTAGCATAGAGTTGGAATGAATATGCCTTGTATGAGATGTTTCACATCCTATACTGATATGTGGATGTGAATCGTGGACAGTTAGTAAATTAGTGAACAATTTTTTGGAAGCTGCGGAGATGTGGTTTTATAGAAAAATGATGAGAATACCCTGGACAGATAAAAGAGTAATGAGGATGTCTTGAAAGAAACTGACTCACAAAGAGAACTGATTGCCCACATCAGAAAGAGACAATCTACATTCTTTGATCATGTGATGAGAAGGAGAAACCTGCAGTATATCGTGATGGTAGGAAAGTTGGAGGAGAGGAGAGGCAGAGGAAGACCGAAAGAACAGATGATGGACGGTTTGACATCATGGCATGGAAGGCCATATGTGTCAGAGTTGTGGAACGTACACGAGACAGAAGGTTGTAGATAGACATGACTACCAACGCAACACGGCATGGACTTTAAGAAGAAGAAGACATGTTTCTCTGTTGTGCACACATTTAAAGAAAATGTGCCGTCTCCACAATGGAGTTTTGCTACAATATGACAAGTTAGTTAGATTTCCTTGGAGACTCCAGCCATATCTTCGAACCTATCCTCTCTTTATCTTCTCGAGCACGTTCATAGAATCAAACAGAAAAGACAGATAGCTAACTATGAGGAAATTGCAGTTAAGTCCTAATCTCTTAAACATTGCGACTCTCGTATCCCTGTCTAAAACCAAACTCTTAAATGTTGTGGACACTGTGAAACTATTTTACAAACCACAAAAACCAAAGACCCGCACAAAGTGCACACACTTCAAGATAAAACCAAATTGATGCAACAAATATATTGGACTAAAGCAGTCAATGTATTATATTCCTTCTTCAGTTATCTCATCCCAAAGTGCCGTGCAGTTTTTTATTTTTGTCTTATTATTATTTCAAGCCTCACCCCGGTTGTCTTATGGGGCCCTAATTATAACCTAAGGATTGAAGGGGGTTTCTGGGGCTTACGATCGGGTGGTTCCCGAGTAGTGGCATCGGGTGTTTATCACTCTGTATGCACTCCTGGCGAGGTTGAACGTCATTTAGTCAGTTTTATTTCTTCGTCTAAAACAAATGTTTATTCATTGTTGACTATTTTTCTTTGGCATTCACAGGTGTATATCCTAGTGCCATGGATTTATTTATGTTCTCCCAAGTGGCAGAGATCACCAGGTGTCTGTACCTCAGCAGTGCAGCCGCGGTGAGAGGAGAGAAGATTCGAACCCTGGGAATCACCCATGTGATCAACGTAACCCAGGAGATTCCCCAACTTACAGATGCCCAACTTGGAGAGCCTCCAGATCCACATTGACGACACACCCACTGCACGTTTGGGGGTCTACTTCGACAGATGTGCCGATAAAATTGATCAAGTAGGTGTTTAGTTGAATGTTGACTTATGAATTAAGAATTGATATCATAGCACACGGGTCACTCCCATAAGCGTCCCATCCCCCATCTTCAGCAGCAAGCGAAGAGTCCCTATTCTGATGGCAACAGTAACTGGCTGATTGTATATCCATCTGGCCTTTCAGTAGAAGGTCAAGCGTCTGCCACATCCCCAGGTTACTCCTTGCAGCGCCATTCTCCTCAGACTATAATGATCTATTTGTGCTCAAGTAGGGGTTTGAATTTACATAATGAAATTAGAACAAAAAAAGACATACATTTCCTAGGCTTCAAGATATTGTTTGGCTTTTTTATTAGTTATATATATATATTATTTTTTCAAAGCAATATTTCCCCGTTGTGAATTTGAATAAAGGAGATACAAACAACGGACTGCACAATTTATTACCTGGTATAACAACAACAACAACAACAATACCTGGTACAGTACACTGTATCTCATCAGTTGTGTTACCCTTCCCCCCCCCCCCCCCAAACCACAATTTAAGAAATTATCGGAAAAAATTTGGGCTCCCCCCTCCCTTGCCACCATCACCACCACCCCCACCACCACCACCACCACCACCACGACTACCACCACCACTACCACCACCACCACCACAACCACCACCACCACTACCACCACCACTACCACAACTACCACCACTACCACGACTACCACCACCACCACTACCACCAACACCACCACTACCACCACCACCACCGCCGCTACCACCACCACCACCTCTACCACCACCACCACCACTACCACCACCACCACCACCACTACCACGACCACCACCACTACCACAACTACCACCACTACCACGACTACCACACCACACACCACCACTACCACCACACACCACCACCACCACCACCACCACCACCGCCGCTACCACCACCACCACCACCACCTCTACCACCACCACCACCACCACTACCACCACCACCACCACCACCACCACCACCACCACCACTACCACCACCACCACTACCACCACCACCACTACCACCACCCCTTTGATGGGGAAACAATTTTAACCATGACATCCTCACCACCATATGGGGGTGGGTTAAAGATGGTGGGAGTGGTGGTTGGGGGTCCTTAAGTTCTTGACCGCCACACTATAAATAATTACGGTAAGGGTGGACGTGGGTGCCCTCATCCTCCTGCCACCCACGAAGAGGGCAGAGATAACTTCTATAACCATTTACAGAAATTATCTTTTAAAGTATTTGTTTATACATTGCATATTATTTCAAGTATATTACTCTATTTATTTATCATTATTATTATTATTGTTTTTATTATTATTATTGTTATTATATTTTTTAAATTATCTAGGGTCAATTTCACCTCGAAGGAAGAACCGATTGACTAAGCAAAATATGATGTGCAAAAGCAAATCTGTTGGCACCTTTCCGTCTTTCCAGACGATACTGATATATTATGGCAGGAGAAGGCATGGGTTTCAGCCCGTGGTCATGACGATTGTGACTAGCAAGACCCGCCTGCGTTTAAGACAAGTCTTCTACAATTAGAGAATGGTATTTCAGGACCATTGTTGCCATCGTATATATTTAGTATGTTTCTTCTCAGACGCTCAGCTCTCGTTCTTTCTGCAATCATTTCTTTCTTTATTCTCATTTCCCTCTCAATTTGACCGCTCCCTACAACAGTCCATGGAATTTTGTTCCCACGAATCTACCTCAGTACCTGTATCATTCATGCCCCATTTGCACATACCTTTATATTGACATAGATGCCAGCCTTGATATTTTCTACCCGCCTGCAATTCACCATAGAGGATGTCCTTAGGAACTCTGTCATCTTCCACTCTCCAGGTGTGATCCAGCAACTTGAGCCTTCAGAGGCTGAGAAAACCATTGTAGTACCTGCCCTTTCCAATACCTCAGTGTTTGTGATTGTGTCTTGCTTCTTAATGCCAAATATTCTTCTTAAGCATCGCAATTGAAAGCTATTTAGCCGTCTCTTCTAGTGCAAATAAATTGACTAAGTTCCACTGCGATACAGCAGAGTGCTGAGAAAACAAGCTTGATGTACAAGTTTTTGTTTTAATCGTGAGCTGTCTGTTCTCCCAAACTTTTGGGTCATCTGCTCACTGTTGTTGCTGCCTTACCTATCCTGGTGTTGATTTTTTTTTTGACCAACAATAGTCTTTTTTTTTCCCTGTGGATCCCAGATATGTAAAATGTTTAACTGTCTCCAGCTCTTCACCATCAATGTAGACTGCAGGTCAGTCATTAACATCTTGCACTGTAACCTATGTCTTCTTTTTGTTGATTGTAAGTCCAAATTTACAGCACATATCAGCAAATGCAGACAGTAAACATTGCAGCTCCTTCTCTGAGTGATTGGTTCTCGCCTCATCATCCGCAAATAGCAGCTCTTTGATAAGTACCTTCCTCATCTTGGCTTTGGCTTTCAGCCTAAGCGAATTATAGAGGCTGCCGTCAGATTGAAATGGATGAATATACCACCCTCCTAATTTCAAAAGGCATATTTCAGAAGAAGTTAGAAATATATTTTATAGAGGGTAAAAGCAAGTACGCAGCCTGCTTCACTCTGTTGTTGATTACAAACTCCTCCGTTGTTACACCATCAAAGTTGACTATACCTTTCATACCTGTATATAATGACTCAATAATTACCAGTAGGGTAGGTGGACACCCAAACCTCTTGAGTGTGTTGAACAGACCTCTTCGACTAACCAAAACGAATGCCTTGATAAGATAAATAAAAGCAATGTAGTGTGGTTGAAACAGCCAATAAATTCTAGGTTTGATCAGTAAAGTGAAGGATGGGCAACTAACTGTTTTTAAAACAAGCAATTATCAAGAGTGGTCTACCCTTCAGCTTTTGGCTCCCCTTTCTGTATGAAGATACTAACCAACTTCTTGTGAACTTCTTCTTTCTTCAGGTAGAAGCAAGAGGTGGGAAAACTCTAGTCCATTGTGTGGCTGGAATTAGCCGCTCCGCTTCAATATGCATCGCTTACTTGATGAAATACAAGCGGATGCCGCTAGACCAGGCCTATAGACATGTGAAGAAATGTCGATCAGTCATCCAGCCAAATGTTGGATTCTGGAAGCAGCTGATCGAGTTTGAGCGCAGGTTGTTTGGACGGACTACTGTGAAAATGGTGCAATCTTCCGGAGGTTTGGTACCAGATGTTTACTATCAAGAAGTAAAAACCACATACTGGCATCCCAGTTCTTCGTCTCGTTATGGTTATTGATGATATGGTTGTTATGCAGCTGTATATATATATGTGTGTGTGTGATTTTATTTATTATCCAAACTTCTAAAGAATGAAATGGCAATTGTTAAGCAAATATGTTGTTGTATGAAATATTTCATGTCATTATGATTATGGTTTTTAGAAAAAGACCTTTTTTGTAACCTCATGACACTAGTACGAGAGTCGCACTGTAGACGAGACTGAAACACCACCACATAATTTTCCCATAACATCAGTGTGTTCATATATTCACTACAGCCTACTTCCATTATGGAGACGGCACAGTTTTTCGTTTAAAGTTGATCAAGTAGATAAGTAAGCAGTGTTTATAGATTAGACAATATTACTCAAATATGAAAATTATTATAATGAGCAATGCTGCCTTTTGCATTTTATTTTTTACTTAGCTTGTGCAAACTTCAAGATTTTGCCGGGACTGACAAGTTTTTCACTAGTTTTCAAATGTGTTAATGAAGTAGTTTATGCGATTTCTACTGGCACAGGTAGAGAGCAATTATGGGATGGCCCACCTGTAGTAATGTCAGAACCTTGAATAACGAGGCCACATATTAACAAAGGAGTGATACTACAATAAGAAGCCTTATTATCCTATTATTGGCATGTAGTAAGATATGAAAACATATGTGAAATAGCAATCAAAATGGGTTATTTTCTGTTATTTCACCACATCACCCCGGCTTCTAGATTCGATAGCGAAATCTGCAGACCATCCCATAGTGTAGGAGGGTTTGTGTTAGGCTTAGCAGTAGTCGCTATTCTTTTCACACTAGCCCTAACTTTAAACCCCCTATACAATGAGACGGTCTGGGGATTTCCATACCAAATCTGGAAGCCAGCATGATGTGGTAAAATAACAGAAAAAGAACCTCAAAATGATCACAGTAATAGCAGAAAATACGTTTAACAAGATAAGATTATTGACATCAAGTGAGATAATCAATTCATTACTGAACAATAAGAATTACGTATTATCAACCCTACTATATGAGACAGAAGTAGGACAATGAAAAGGTTAGTTGCGTATCCTTTACAGGACGTTGCAGAACCAACCCCAACAGCACCTGGCTGTTGCGTGGTTTCTCTAGGCAAATTTATGTCCAGTAGTTTGCCATTGCTTTCTGGACAGTCAGCTTTCTTGATACCATTGTTGTAACCAACGTAAGGCGCATGGCCTGCAGCTGGGATCGAACCCAGCACCCCGGCATTATGAAGGGTTCGCATCGACTTAGCCACAGAGCCGACAGGACAATAAAAAGGCAATCAAAAAGTCTAACTGAGGTCTGGAGATGTAGGTACAGAGAATAATTGATTCACTGATAATGTTAATAAACTGTTTTTAAAAAAATAACAAAATAGTTATTAAATAATATGTCCACGCATATTATCTTAATATTTTAGAAAAATCTAAAGTTGTGTTTGGCCTGGTATGACCATAGGCT